TTCTGTTCCCTGGGTTCTAGATAGAGGAGGGTTCTGTTCCCTGGGTTCTAGATAGAGGAGGGTTCTGTTCCCTCTGTTCTGTGTGATTGATTGAGCCCCCTTGTGTCCTACAGGCGTCTGTCAACAGCAGCCTCGGTTTTGCTGACAGATCCGATCTAGAACAGGACTGATCCGATGGGACCGGTCCAGTAGAACCCTGATTTCATGCATGTCCACCAGACGTCTCCATGACTTACTGATTTTATGTTCTGAGGGATCCTCTTCCACAGATACCTGGCATTGTTCCTGTGGGACAGAGGGAACCAAGGTCAGTAGGACAAATCAGAACCAGAACCGGCTAAGATCCAACTGAGCAGAACCAGAACCGGCTAAGATCCAACTGGGCAGAACCAGAACCGGCTAAGACCCAACTGGGCAGAATCAGAATCCTGTGAACTGGGCATCAATTCACTCAGCCAGAGATTTATCAAACTAAATGAACTCATTAGTGAAAATGAGTCGTGATCAGAGGAACCGCCATGTTGCTAATCTACGATAAACACAGATCAGCTTCACACATGGAGACGAGCTGATGTTTCCATGGCGACCAAACAGATCCTAATCAGGACGGTTCGCTGAAATCAATCGGCTTTACTCACATGTCGTTATTGAGCAGATAGAGCGCTAGCATCTGAGCGTAGACCTGAGGAGTGGCAACGCCCCCTGGTGCCTGGTGAAGGGAATGCAGGAGAACAGACAGAAGTTTAGAAAGGTCTCAGACACTGGAGGGAGGCAGCCATCTTCTTTTTGGACCGGAACCAGAACCACAACCAGAACCAGGACTAAAGGAAACCTGAGACTCACTAAGTGGAGCTTTGCTTTATAGCTTTTTTCATTTAATAACTTTTCATAATCTTTTCCATTAAAATGTAGGAATAGTTTTAACGTGTTTAATGTTTGCTCAGCCTGCCTAGTCAGAGCTGCTCTACATGCAGTCAGTGGAAAATAATCAGAGATTTAAATGTGCTACGCAGGCCTCAGATCACTGAATAGATCAGCAGCTCAATCTATAACACATCTGTTTCCAGTGGATCTACCTCCCAGACCACTCAGGTCTTCTAGTTCCAGCCTCCTCTGTCCACCCAGAACTAGAACCAAACATGGAGAAGCAGCATCTATGCTCCACAGATCTGGAACAAACTCCCAGCAGACTGGAAAAGAGCTGTAATCCTGAGTTCTTTGAATAAAGCTGCCTTTAACTGATGGAGGTAAACTGGTAATGGAGGGATCATTAGTTGAAAAATAAATGTTTTTTAGAGGCTCTAATAGCTTTGATGTTCAGAGGTTTTACAGCCGTTCTCTAAACTTGGCAATATTCTCAAATTTATACGTTTTCGTCTCTCTTTAAAATTCCCAGTTTAATGCTGATAGTTTGGAGATTCTCTGATAATGATCTGATTTTTGGACGATATTTCCACTTTTATTGTAATTTTAGGTCAATTTCTTTTTTTCATTTTGCTTTTTTTCTTCTGCGCAAAAGAGCCTTTTTTATTTTCTATTTTATTTCCTATTGTGTGGTTTTGCGTTGTTTCCCGTTTGGCTGCTGGGATCTTATTAAAGGTCTAATTCTCACACCCGAAGACATCATGTGGCAGAAAATAAAATTAAATAAAGTTTGAATGAATATATCAGTGCAATTTTATGCACTCTATTGATTCTGAAGGTAATTTAAACATGGTGATATATATCATGTATCGCGATCAGTGGCGGCTGGTCAATAGAGGGCGCTAGGGT